CCCCAAAACCCCAAAACCCCAAAACCCCAAAACCCCAAAACCCCACACTGAATGTTCCGAGTTGAGATTTAATAGTTTAGTTATGAAGGAGATTGGTGGGTTTGGAAAGAAGGCAGCTTGGAGTAGGGATACCCTAAAATCCCCTCTTCCAACCCCTTCACCACTAACCCTCAGACCCCTCCTCTCTTCTCTAAAATCCCTTTCTCCATTCCATTCTAAATTCTCTCCTCTTCCACAGATTATTCTGAAACTACCTGAGTAGTACAAATAGAAGAAGTAAAGGAACAGAAGTTTTGAGGGCTAAGGATTACACTTGGGTTAACGAAGGATTTTGGAATTTTAAGGTGAAGAAGGGAAGATTAGAAGAGGGTTTGGGATTGGGGTTTGGATTAAGTTAGGGTAAAGAGTTATTAGTTCGGCTAAGTTTAATTTGGGTTAGAGATATTGAAAAAATTCCTAGAGGTATATTTACTTAATTCTCTTGTAAATACAAATTTAAAATGTTTTAGAAACGATATTCTCTCTTTTGTATTTCGAATCACTTGTTCTTGTTATAAACTTCATCACCTTATTTTCTGATTTTATCTCTTGAAATTTACTCGAAAGTGACCATAACCCCATTGCTACAAAAGCTATGCTTAATTTCTTTATAAATTACTTCCATGGAATGGCTAGGACCAGGAAAGTTTATCTCTTGCAAAGAATTTTGAAGAGGAGATGAAGTCAATCCTTCTACAAAATTCTCCAAGTACTCAGTGTCTTTTTCAGGCTGGATAATTTCTCATAGCTCAAATCAAAGATATTCTAATTTGATTTGTGATGGTGAGGATGACAAGTTTTGTAAAAATTTTAAATGACTGACTTTGATTGAGCAATCAGAAAATTTAAGGCTTTCACATGTCCGAGACGATACGAGTATTCTTTCAAATTGTTTATGTGAGATCATGAATTTTTTTTAAATTAAGTCTTTTTATTGTATTAGAAGCTATCTTTCAAAGATTATTCAAATAGAATTTAATATCAAGCGCGGCATCACCAAGGCATATGAAATTACAGTTGTTGAAATCTGTACGATGCATTGAATGTAGAAGTTTATTTGTATTTTTATCTTTTCCTTGAATTCCTCAAATATAGAAGTTGTACATCTCTGTTATAGAACATCAAATCTTAGCTAATTTCTTCATTAATCCTCTCTGCTGATAAAATTAAGGTAATGATTCATTTCAAAACAAATACTCCCAAAAACGTCATATTCGGCTTTTTGCTTCAAAATAATATACCTCAAAACAGTTTCTATCTCATCTTGCTCTCTCTTACTTTCCTCACAAATAACTTCCCTCTTCATCCAAAACCCACCTTCCATCTTAAAGTATTATTCCAATCATTCCCCATCAAATCGGGGTTTTGGGGTTTTGGGGTTTTGGGGTTTTGGGG